TGCTTGGAGGCCATACAAACCCGGCTTCCTTGTTCTACCTGTTGGGTGCTGGAATGTGGGGGCTCTTTATCCCTTAAGACAGACTCTCCGTAACCCGACTCCCGTCGCAAGGAGACTGGACCTTAACGTGGTGCGACGATTTGCGTACCTCGACCCATTGAGCATTATTGGGTCGCGCCTCCAGGCTCCTAGAGAGTTACTCCTACAAGTTTGGTCAGTGGTGAGAGGTAAAATAAACTCAGTCTCCTGGTCCTCCAGGTTGGGGTTTGAAATGGCATGGCGTCCATATCAATAAAATTAAATTATTGTAGACAGGGTTTGGAGCCAAAGGCTTTGGTTGAGGGCCCTAATCGTCCTCCTGTCTAGGTCTGAGCGACCTGGCAGTATCTCAGCTCACATACCACCATGACATTTTCTTCAAATGTAAACTTCATCCTGCATCGGCCATCGTGCAGATTATCAAGGGTCGCCTTATCTGCTGCATACATCAGCGCGCATAAGCGCAAACATGCTATTTCTGGCGCCTCCCTTCTTTCTTTTCCACCTGTTACTCCCATCTCGACCTCCATTACTAAACTTCCTTCTATAATTCCCAGCTTAATTGAAAGCAACCGAAGTGCCGCTGGAGTATAAGCATCTGCAGCCACCTTCGCACAACACCCATCGGCGCCTGCGGACAACAGCCTTTTATAAAGCCAGGCTATCCCGTTTCCATGACGGTGTTCAAGTTTCGCACAAATAGGTCAACAGGCTGCACTAGCATGCATCTTGGACACACTGTGTGTTGTGTGTCCGAAATTAGGATCAATACTCCTAATAGGGCTTGTTGGATTAACTGCATCCCGATTATCCTCTCGTTATTTGTTGCATGCATCCGGTGACGTCGGTGCAGCACTTCCAGATCAAGCTGGTGTAGGTATCTTTCTAAGATCCAAGGCTAAGTCATCGTTGGTTGATTGGATTCCGGTGAACAGCCGTTTTTGTGCAACCCATTTGACGACATCAGCTAAGGTGGATTTACGAAGTAGTACAAAACACTTTGTTCGTGATTTTCGCTTACGCTCCCACCGACTGCAGTTCAAATGCTGTCAAAGACACATTCTATCACGAACTGAACACTCTACTATGCAGTGCCACTACCTCAGATATTATAGTACTTGCAGGGGATGTGAAGACACAAGTTTGGGCGTACGAGCTCTTCAGGAGCTCCGCTGGGTGGTAATTCTGAACTTAATTCTGAACGGATTGATGACGGTGAGCGTCTGCTGCAACTGTGTGCGGAGCACCAGTGTTTCTTAGTAGTACTGCTTTTAGACACAATGAGCGCCACTTGGCGTCCTCCTGTAGCTGACCAGCGATGGACCCAAATTGACCACATAGCCATAAGTTACAGATGGCGTGGTTCCATCCTGGATTGCCGCTCGTACTGGTGTACTTGTGTCGACTCTGATCATGCCTTAGTACGCTGCTGTTTCTCTATGAGATTTACTGGGAGGCGTACCATGCACCTCCTCCGGTTGGCAACTGAGAGGTTGTCTCAGCCGTCGGTCAGACAAGCCTATCAAGACGCACTGCATACCTAACTTTGTTTGTTTTGTCCTAATGACACCCGGCATACGTATCATGTGCCTGAGCCAGCGCAAGTTATTCAGTGCTGTCTGTTGCTCTAGGGAGCTAGCATTATTATCGCTAACTAGTACTCGCGTACGCACATCATCGTTGCGGCCACGCTGGTGTCATCCGACAGACAACCATGATCTATGACGTGAAGGCGCCTCAGCTCTTCAGACCAAAGGGGCCAAGTCTCACTACCATAGAGCAGGATGGCCCTCACTGTGGCCTTGTACACACAGATTTTCAGACGAACGGAAACTCCCTTCGGTCGCCAAAGATGCCGCAGGTTCAAGGAGGCAGCTTTGGCCTTTGTAATGCGTGAGCTGGCCTCAGTTTCTATGCGCCCATCATTGCTGATGCAGCTGCCAGGATAAGTGAATTGATCAACCACCTCGTTCCACGTTAGCAAGGGTCATAAAGTGGCTGGTGTTCCCGCAGCAACACTGCACTTTGAAGGTGCGAAGTACATACCAAATCATGGGAAGATTCTGGACAGCCTATTCAGGGTTGATTGCGCCGTCACAACATGGCCGAAAAGCAAGACGATATCGTCCGCATAATGTAGGTCAACTAACCTTTCACCAGGCAGGACCGCAACGCCTACATTGTGAGATACCGCAAGGGAACACTCCATGATAGAATCCACGACGAAGTTGAACAAAAATGGGGAAATCGGACAACTCTGAAGAACGCCACTTGTGGTCGGAAAGCTGTCCGACAGGTCACCGTAGACCCTGACGCGGCCTGCAGTGTTCGAGTATAGAGCACGAAGGATGTTCACATATTTCGTTGGAACACCTTTCCGCGCAAGTATTTTGAACAGAATCAATCGATCGACAGAGTCGAACGCACTCTTGAAATTGAGGAACACAGCTATTGTTGGTCTGCGGTATGTATGGCGCTGCTCTCGCATCTGCCGCAAAGCGAACATATGGTCCACACAGCCACCTCCTGTGCGGAAGCCTAAATGCTCTTCCCTAGTCTGAGATTCCCGTTCCGCAGTGAGGCGACGAATGAGAATCGAGGCATAATTTGATTACAACGGGCGTTAGGCCAATACTCCTGTGGTTAGAACAGTTGGAGCGACTGCCGTTCTTGTAGATTACCACTATAATCGATTCGCTCCAACCAGCCGGGACACTTCATTCCATATACGCTCGAATAGGGAAGCCAGTGCTTTGCAGAAGACCTCACCTCCATCCTCAAATAGTGCATTTGGGAGGGAATCGGGGTCAGGGGCCCGAAAACCATCGCATTTCGGACCTCGGCCTCCGACAGAGGCTCTAAACTGACCGTCCATGGCTCGTCCTGTATCACCTGAGTAGGAAGAGGTCCGGGAGCAGAGGGCCAGCTGAACTGATCTTGAAAGTGTTCCGTCCAACGAGCCATATGGCACTCCTTATTGTGTATCACCGCACCCGCACTGTCTGATTGTCTCACTAACGCCTGGTTGTCTAGGACCAGTGGTGCAAATTAACTGGAAGAGCTTGCGGCAATTGCGTACTGCTCCTGTCTCCTCCATTTCTTGCTCCTGACTGGTCCACCAGGCTTCCTTGTCAGCACTTAGGCTCTGCTTGAGTTCACGCCTAATAGCCCGTCTGGTCACATTGTATTCAGAAGCAGCCGGGAGGTGTCTTTTGGATCACAACAGGTTCACCGACCTCTTGGATATCCAGTGACTGATGCGGTGAGGATTGATAGTGCCACAAGCAGATGCTCCTGCGTCGTGCATGGCGGCCGGGACCCTATCCCACTGAAGCTGTGTCAAGAGGACAAAACAGGGAAAGTTCGGTATGCAGTGCGTCTTGATAGGCTTATCTGACCGAGGGCGGAGAGAATTTCTCAGTTGCCAACCGAAGTAAGTGCTTGGTACGCCTCCCGGTAAAGTTCATCGAGAAACGACGACATACCAAGACATGATCAGAGTCGACACAAGTACACCAGTACGAGCGGCAATCCAGGATGGAACCACGCCATCTGTAACTTATGGCTATGTGGTCAATTTGGGTCCATCGCTGGTCAGCTACAGGAGGACGCCATGTGGCGCTCACTGTGTCTAAAAGGAGTGTTACTAATATGCAGCCAGGTCCACTGTTAGTTAATGAATCACTGTGGTAGGAAACAACTGATAAACTTACCGAGAGAGTGTCCCCATCAGCATACGTCGCACAACTTTCTTTTCGGTCCAGTCAGTTTGTGTTTCTTTTGTTTAGAACTAAACGGTGTATTCATACTGTTACGAATAATCCCCCTAAGCATATGCGTGCAGTGAACGCCAGCGATCGGTGCTGATAGTTCTTTGTGGCATTCTGCGACCAGCATCGATCACATCTTGATTTTGCGTCAGTTGTTGGAGCTCCGTCACATCTATTGGCGGCCCAACGTCGTGTTCCTCGACATCAAAGACACCTTTGATTATTGGATCTATGTGCCCTTTGGAATTGCCTGCTAAAGAATAGTGTGCCCGAGAAATATGTAAATATTATCCGAGCGATTTACGCACGTAGCTCGGGCAGAGTGGGGGCTTACGGTCATCTTTCTCCGCCCCTCAATATCTCCAGCGGTGTAAGACAAAGATGCCTGCTGTAACCTTTCCTCTTTAATTTCGCTATTGGTGAAGTTATGGAGATAGCCTTCACTGGTCACGAGTTGGTAGGTGTGGAGCTGCTCCAAGGTGAACGACTTCATGACTTTGAGTATGCTGGCGACATTACCCTCATGTATGACAGCTCACAAACGTGCCAAGCGGCACTGGACGGATTAGGTCTGGCTGTCAGCCGTTTCGAGTTATGCTTCTCATTTTTCAAGGTTTGCAGGGATCGCCTCCTTTTTGGTGATCAGCTAGAAATCATTCAGAAATTCAGCTGCCTTGGCCGTTGTATCAGCGCCGTTGGAATTGAAAACGAGGTCACAAACTGTATAGCGAAAGCACGAAGCGCTTTTGCTAACCTTCGCCACCTGTGGCGTCGGCGCGACATCACTCTCCCTGGAGCGTAGAATCTACAATACAGCCGTACGTTCGACCCTGCTGTACGGTTGTGAAACCTGGCTCATTTGACCGTTCGATATAAAACGACTAGTGTTACGTTCAACCACCGGTGCCTTCCCAGTTTGGCTCGTCTGTTGGGAACACCGTGTGCGCAATGAGCGTCTTCGAAACCTTGTTAATGACATATTAAGAATAAGTGAATCGCTCAACACCTTTATATCGTGCACCAGGCTCCAGTGGCTTGGCCATATGTTGCGCATGTGAGCATACAGACTCCCGCGAAGTGCGTTGTTTACGCGCCCGGAATGTGGATGGAGGAAGAAGTGGTGGACAAGCGATGACTTGGTCAAAAGAATGAAGGCCTTGGTTGGGACCTCTGCTTGAGGTCCAATATACGATGAACACGTTTGACAGGATACACTTGTTGACATGGCAAGGAGCGGACCTCAATGGCGTTTGTGTTGTGAGTTTCTTTGTCCCCTCCCCTCCCGTTTAGCCTCCCCTCCAACCATGATCTCATTTACTAGGCATCATAGCCGGCTGTTAACTCTCCAGAACGATACCCATCCGTTACTGCTGACTTATGTTTTGCAGCATAATAGCTGATGTCTATGCTACCTTTAGCTAACATGTATAACGAATGAATGACGGCCAGAAGCGATCACATCTCTGTGCTTTTACTTGTCGTCTTCCAGTCTCCAACAGTGGAATAGAGACGTACTCTTGAACCACCATCGTTTATTGCCATTATTTTTCGTGTGCTGTTGTCACGTGCATCTAGAGTACATTTTATTGTTCGTACGCCTGTTCTCCTGCCTGTTCATCGCATCGCTGATCCACTGACTGCGGCTTGCTTGAACCCTATTTTGCAACGGTCTCTTATGCCTACAGATCCAAGTGATTTTCCTTTTCTTTACAATATCGCTGCTGTGATGTGCTTATCGTCTATATCTTGATCTATTTAAATTGCTGCGACGGTTCTACGTTATTTACATTTTATCATCCTCTGGAGCATCTGCTAATTACGCAAAAATGTGCTTGTAGTTAAATGGCTTAATTGCAGTAAACTCCTTTTGCCCCGACATCATATATGTGTCTTGCGGAGAATCTTTGGTGTTTACTTCGGGATAGCGAGAAAATTTGAAAGATCTGACAGTATGTATGTTTGGTATGCATACATGTTAGCCGTCTGACGCATATCCTATTATACCTTCTGGTAATCCTGTGGCTAATACTATCTACTTCTTAATAGAACGGTCTTGTACCAATTGTGGAGCCCGAAGTGCTCCCCGATGGCGACCACGACCTACCGACTGCGCAGAAAGTGACGGAACAAGTTTTGGCATTCGTTTACAAGGCTTTGGCTGATCATCACGTGTATCTGGAAGGCACTCTTCTCAAACCCAATATGGTGACGGCTGGTCAATCATGCTCCAAACGGTACAGCCCATCTGAGAATGCTTTAGCTACTGTTCAGGCTTTGCAGAGAACCGTTCCTCCTGCTGTTGTTGGTCAGTGTTCTCGCATTTTTGGTCATTATACGAATTCTTCACTTCATGCAGACTACTACCTAACCCTTCCTAGACTATAAAACTACAGAGGCTGTGACACAGTTATCTATTCTCCTTGAATTGTTTCAAGCAGCGGTTTGATGTTGCATTTCATGTAGGCCAATTTACTACTTAGACCATTTGTGGACCACGGTTTCTCTCTCGTCTATTGCAGCCCAGTTAGTCTACGCGTTTTTATTCTACTTAACACACACCGGTGCACTTTCACGTAATGCTACGATTTGTGTGCCTCTCCGACTCATCGGTGGGTGCCGCCGGCCCTGAATGCTACTTCAACCAGACTGGTCAATGGTTAGAGATCAGATCAGATCAGTCTCCTGGTCCTACATGTTGCAGGTTCGAAATGGGGCGGTGTCCACTTCCGCAAAATCGGATTGTTGCGATCTCCCCACTGCCTTGCGACCAGGCTTTGGAGCCATAAGCTTTGGTTGTCGAACCCTTTTAAAGGTCATACTGTCCTGTTTCCCTGACAGCGTTCAACGTCTGCAGTGTATGACAAATTGGTTAACAGGCTGCACTCACACGCACGTTGGACATCTAGTGTACCGACGTGTGTTGCGTGTCTGAAACCTGGATCAATTGCCTTCAAGTGGTTGTTGAGCTAACTATACCCGGTTTGTCCTCTCGCTGTTGGTTACTCGCATTTAGCGACACTGATGCGGCAGTCAAAAGTCCAGCTGGGTGGGCATTGTTCTCAACTCTCAAGCTGAGTCATCGCCAGTTGGTTGCATTCCTGTGAGCAGCCGTTTTACGACATCAGCTAAGGTTGATTCACCACTTAGCACTAAACGCCGATTCTGTCCCTACTATTATCTGCAGTCACCGTGCCTTCATGCACATCTCCTACCACTAACTGGTAACGTTGCTTTGCGGCATTGCAATTATGTATAGAGCATTGGCTATTTCATAACTTCGTTGTTTTTCGGCACAGCGCGAGCCGAAGTGCTACTTGGCGCTTTCCTATGACTGGCCAGCGAAGGGCCTACATAGATCACGTCACCGTACGTTACAGGTAGAGTACTCCCATTCTGAACTGTTGTTCGTTTTGGACCATGGGTCAACTCTGCTTAGGCGTTTTTCCATGAACTTGACCAAAATGCTTACCAAGCGTCTCTCACGAACACGCAACGGAGGTAACACAGTTGCTGATCAGGCAACCTTACCAGAGTACCCTGCGTACCTTGTTTTCACTCTCTCATCCTAAGGACATCGAGCTTCCGTGGAATAATATCTCGCCTGCCATGCGCGACACGAGAGCCTGTCTTTGCGGCGCTATCAGTTGCTGCCGCATCACACATTGAATGTACGAGAAGTCAATAAACCTGTTGGAATCCAGAAAAAATCTGTTTGTCTTAAGTGCAGTGTAAGCAGATGAACTGTTAAGGCGCGAACTAAGGTGGAACCTGCGTTCTAACAGGGTAGTCTGGTAGATCAGTAGGGTTCAGGAAGTGGAGAAGGTAGTTACACTAGGCAAATGCTACAAGCTCTTCCAACTGACCCACATCACTAATTCTATGAACCCAGTAGTCAATGCGACAACCAGTTGGGCAGAGGGCTTTTGAGAGCATTTGAGTTTTCCACCAACTCCTGAGTCTTCCTGTTCAGGTGGTGCAAGCTAGGCCATGGTGAGTTAGTTTTAAATCTTCATCGGAGGTCCGAAACCCGATCACTGCCCTCAAGTGTTTTGACGCTGATGACCTCAACTCTATCGATTTCGCATCATTATAGGATTATGTTGAGGTTCTCTGCAATACACTGACCCGACAGTCACTGACCATCCTGTTCGAACGGGTCTGGAAGGAAGAGGCTATCCCAGCCAACTGGAGTGGATCCAGCGTATTGGTAAAATACAAGAAAGGCAGTAGCCCCGAACGTGCTAACCATAGGGTATCAACCTAACCTCGATGGTGATAAAATTACGGACCTTAATTGTCGTTCGTCGCATAACATTGCCAACGATGGGCGCATAACGACAGAAATCAGTTCACGTAATTCAACTTCTATGGATGCTTTCTTGAATCTGTGACGTCTGTGGTATCAGCATGGGGTTTCCGTCGATCTCCAAGGCCATGTTTACGGGGCCACAGTAAGGACCATCCTACTCTATAGGAGTGCGACTTGCTCCCTTCTGTTTGAGGCGTCTTCCGTTCCTTAATCATCGCTGCCTGCGAAACATTGTTTGGGTCGGATTGCACCGGGGTGTCCGCAGCGATGATGTGGGTGGGTGGGTACTAGGCGGTGGTAATCAGGTTAGTTTTTTAGAACAGTAGATAACACTGAATAAGTTATGTTCGCTTGGGCACATACTACGTATGCTTGCTAACCGCTTACCGAGGAGCGGGTTATGTCGTTTGCCGGATGTGGGTTGGCGCAGTGCTTGATGTGGGCAAAGGCTGACTTCGCAGTGGAAACTGCGGTCACCGAAGAAGGCATCAGCAATACGCCGGTACGCAGAACCGGATGCGTCGCTGCCGCACAACTCCTACCAGTCGCACATAGGCTAAAGACCTTGTGTGAGTCGCCCGGGCGCTTACGTAGACTCGAACTCCCGCCATCGAATTACTAGGCAGGCTTGTGATCCTTAAGCGTACGGGACGGCGTGGGTACTGGAGACTAAACTAAGTGTTGTTGGTCAGTCTCAACTTCCAGGCTGGAGTCCACGTGGTCTGCCCTGTGTCTGACTCAAGACGTCAAAGCGTCTGGCTCGCAGTCGACATCATTGGCGCGTCTACTGTCGTCTCTTTTTCGAATTACATGTTTAAAGTGCGTGCGGTACCGAATTATCTGCGGGCTAATGACTGCCTATGACGTTGGGCAGCGAAATCCGCAAGGGAACGGTCTCGTTGATGTCGCCTTCACTTCGCACGATATTTGGCCGTTTATGACCATATGTTGTTTAGGATCTTTAGGCCTCGTAGCCCAGATGCTTGCTCATAGTCTTCAAACGTTGCACTAGGCCCCCTTCTCTCTCCTATTATTCTTCATTCTGGTCAGTATACAGGAGAAGGTAAAAACATAAAAGAAGAAAAAATTCATCAGATAAAGCTTAAAGTAACAAATACCAGAGCACCAGCAGTCATATGCTCAAGCAAACAAACGGATAGTACTCCCCTACATCAAGAACGTCTGCGAACTAACAGGTAGATTGCTGCAGTCACATGAAATCTCTGTGGCTCACAAACCAAGTGCCACCCTGAGGAAATTGATCTTAAGACACAAAGGAAAAGTCAATCAAGCCGACCAATGCGATATCATCTACCAGATAAGATGCAGCGACTGCGATAACAGCTACGTTGAACAAACTGGAAGGGAGCTTTGTACACGAATCACGAAATACAAGACGGCCGTCAGAAGGCATGATCCGTACTCATTGGTTTCTGCGCATAAAGATCAAGTAGGCCACCATTTCGATCTTAGGAATGTAAAAACCCTGGCATATGGAATCACAAACCACGCAAGGGAGTTTTTGGAAGCCTGGTACTCTACAACGCATTCAAGCCATCGACACATCAAACTGGGCGCAGTATACTCTACGCTACTGATGAACGACCTCCAACTCAATCGTTTGAACCCGGTGGAACTTCTGACTAGACAACCAGAACTGACGGCAGACTCGCTCGCAAGAGCAAGCATAACGGCCACGAAATACAAGGAGGCGAGGTCAAAGGTCATCTGCCCATCAACTAAGCTGCACGCGGATCGAAGTTTCAACCAATAGGATTGCTCGTCTCTACAGCCAACTACGGCGGTATAAAAACTCACGCACTCTCACCGAGGCCCATCTACTCTACTGCAGGCCACTTAATTACACACGGACGACGTCACCTCGATTGGTGACGAAACGTTTGCAACAAAATTGCCAAGCTCGGGGAAAAGTACAACCACCATCTGAAAACCTGAGCTACTAGTCTACAATTCTATAGCCAAAAGAAAACCCATTATTTTAAATGGTTGTCGAACTGTTCGCTAAGCTTGGCAATTTTGTTGCAAAGGTTTCGTCACCATTCGAGGTGACATCACCAGTGCGTAGTTGAGTGGCACGCATTAGCGTAGAGGAGCCTCGGTGAGAGTGCGCTGAGCGTGGTGTGCATGCGTTTTTATACCGCCGTGGTTGGCCGTGGAGCCAAGCAATCCAATTGGTTGGGACTTCGATTCGCGTTTAGCTTGGTTGATGGGCAGATGACCTTTGCCCTCGGCTCGTGTTTCGTGGCCTTTGTCTGCTTGCTCCTGCGAGCGAGTTTGCCGTCAGTTCTGTTGGTCTAGTCACACGTTCCACCGGATTCAATCGATCGAGTTGGCGGTCGTTCCTCAGTAGGGTGGCGTATACTGCGTCCAGTTCGATGTATCGGTTGATTGAATGCGTTGTAAAAGGCATGTTCCACACTCATTGGTTTCTGTGCATGAAGATCAAGAAGGCCACCATTTCGATCTGGAGGACGTAAAGATCCTAGCCCATGGAAGTACAAAACACGCGAGGGAATTTTTGGAAGCTTGGTACTCTGCAACGCATTCAATCAATCGACACATCGAACTGGACGCAGTATAGGCCACCCTACTAAAGAACGACCGCCAACTCGATCGAATGAATCCGGTGGAACGTGTGGCTAGACCAACAGAACTGACGGCAAACTCGCTCGCAAGAGCAAGCGGACAAAGGCCACGACCCACAAGGAGGCGAGGTCAAAGGTTATCTGCCCATCAGCCACGCTGAACGCGAATCAAAGTCCCAGTCAATAGGATTGCTCGGCTCCACGGTCAACCACGGCGGTATAAAAACCCATGCACACCACGCTCAGCGCACTCTCGCCGAGGCTACTCTACGCTATTGCATGCCACTCAACTACGCACTGATGGTGTCATCTCGATTGGTGACGAAACGTTTGCAACAAAATTGCTAAGCTCAGCGAACAGTTCAACAGCCATCTGAACCACCTGAGCTA